ATAATGTTCGCCAGCCGCGCCACCTCAGCCTCAGCCCTTCCCTTGCCGTCCTTGCCCTTGGCCTCCTCCCTATCCTCGCCCGTCGGCGTCGACGCGACGTCGAACGGCGCGAGCCCCATGGCCTGCAGGCCCGCGGGGCCCCCGACCTGCGCGATGTCGGTCTCGCCGGGGCGGCCCGAGTGCGACGCCTCGCTGCCCAGCCCGCTGCCGGTCGAGTCGAAGTCGGGGCCGGGGTGGCCCCGCAGGAACGTCTTGCGCTGGCGCGCGAGGTACAGCGCGTTGGTCTGGGTTAGCGGCGCGGCTGGGACGTAGACGAGGATGGATACGTTGTTCTTGCTCTCGGTCGTCGCTTCGTCGCTGGGTGGTGGGGGGGTGGGCGCGCGCGACGCCATCACGTTCGGGTTGCTAGTCATGTGGTAGGCTAGGTCTGGGTGCCAGACGATGTAGTCGCCCGTCTGGAGGGTGGGAATGGTCACAAGGGTGCGCCGCAGGTGCAGGTGCGGGTGCCAGAGTTCTGTCAGGCGCTGCGCGTGGCCGGGCACGGCGCCGTGGATGACGGTGTTGTGGTCCTCGGTCAGTTCCCAGTTCTCGGGCGCCAGGAAGGCGTCCCACTCCGGGCCCGAGCGGTGGGCCGGGGGCGGTGTTTTGGGGGCGAAGAAGGGGCGGAGGAGGAAGTAGGCGGTCGCGAGCTTGGGGGACGGCAGCAGGCGGATGAGCCCCGGCTCGATGGTCGACAGCGCCACCACGCCCTGGTACATGCGGAAGATGCTGCAGGCGCCGTAGCCGTTGTACAGGTCGGGCGTGGCCGTGACCCGGAAGGTCGGATCCCACGGGTCGTACTTCTCCCACTCGCCCTTGAATACGGCATCGTATGTGCCGCCGCGGCCGTAGCCATCGGGCTCCCACCGCTCCAGGCTCCCATTATCCACCTGCGCAATCACGGTGCTCGACGCGAAATCCCCAAACGACTCCACAAACGCCCGCTGCACCTCCTCGCTCGGCTCCCCGCCCGCCTCGGGCCCCACCCCGCCCACATTGGCGCCGTGGATGCGCAGTCGATCGGCGTACGCAATGGGGAACCGCGCCGCCATGCGATCGTCGCCGTCGGCGTCCCACAGCCCCATGGCGAACCGCTGCGCCTCGAGCACCCGGGGATGCGCGCGCGTGCGTACCTGCGCCGGCGTCCAGAAAAAGTCGAAACATGTCGGATCCTGCGGCGGGGGCGTCTTGAAGTCGTTTTTCGTCTCGAGGTACTTGACCGTCTCGTCGATGGCGGCCTGGGCGTCGGGGCGGGGCACCACGCCGCGCACAACGCCCAGGCCGTAGCGCTTGAGGTCGCGCGCGAAGGCGGCTGTCTCGGTCGGGTTGGCGATCTCGGAGAAGTCGATCGAGGGTGTGATGTTGCTGCCGCGGGACTCAATGTGCGAGACGGCCGAGGAGAGGGCGCGCAGCAGCCGTGTCCAGGAGGCGGAAAGGGCTTCCTCGTGGCCCTGGGTCAAGCTGCGCTTGATGTGGGCGAAGCGCGTGGGCAGCGGCACCGGCTCGGTGCCGTAGAAGGACAGGACGGGGGGTTCCATGCTGTTCGCCAGGTCGGGTCTTGGGTCGGCCGCTTCTCCTGACGGTTCGCCGGAATGATGGGTCTCGAGACTGAAGCTGACGCTGGGAGGATTATTCCCAGTTTTCAGCGAGGACAGCGTCGCTGTTAAGGTGCGGTGCTTGAGCTTGGAGATCCTGCGGGGTCGAGCGGTGCTGAGGCTTCCGTTGGAAATTGGGGGGGTCGGCTCCAACATTTGGGGCTGTTGGAGCAGCTGCTGGGCCTGCTGGGCGACGTGGTTACACGGGCACGGCTTGCGCCGCCGCCCACATTGGGAGCATCGGGACCCCTGGTCCTTGTCGGCACTACCATTCGATGTGGTAGTGGGAATGCTCCTGTTCGCAATGCTCGGGCTCGTGTGTGTGCTGGTGCTGGTGCTGGTGCCCAGAATCGAGGCCGAAACCGAGACCTGGATCGAGGCCGTGCCTGTCCCGCTCATGTCGACGTCCCTCATGGCGCGCGTCGAGACGGCGGCGCTGGTGGAGGTCATGGTGTGTTGGGCATGCTACCGTCGCCGCATCGGTCGAGAACCAGCCTGAGAAAAATATAATATGGTGGGATTCGGTTGTGGTGCGTGGTGTGTCGCGTTGGCCAACTCCCAGAAAGACGAAAAAGTCGACCGTGACCTGGAAACAGGAACGGGACCAGGCCTAGATAACCCATCTATCTGCCCATCAGGATTGTGCATCGCGCTAGCCAGCGTGTCGGAAGAGGCATCAATATACCGGTCGCCGACCCAGTGTTTTCTTTAGGCAGAATGCTGCCCCGTCTCTGGCCTAGACGCCGACCAGGAGTCCTGGCCTTCGTGCCTTCCTGGCCTTCTCGCAGCCCGCAGCCCCGCGGCGCGTCAGTCTCCGAGTCCCGCCGTGCCGCCGCATCTCAAGCAAAATGCCAAATGCATTTCGTGGGGCGAGAGAACTGCATCTGGCGCATTCCGTGTTGCGGGACTCGCGCGGGAGCATCGCGCACTCCACACACGCCCACCATGCACCCAATGCGCATGCAGCTTCTGGGCCGTCTTGTGTCCGTCAGCAGGAAAACGCTGCCGCGGCGCCGCAGCCCGTCGTTCCAGTCCCCCAGAATCCAGAGATCTAACGGCTGCCGGAACTTTCGGTAGGCGCTGCGGGGGGGTCCTGGCAGGCCTGGGCTGCCACGCTGCGACTGGGGGTAACCTTGCGGACGTGTGGGGTGAGGAGGGCAAGGAGCGCGACCCAGAATCGGAAGCACCACTCCGCATCGCCTGAAAGGAGTGGCGCCGGCGAACCGCCTCTCGGCCCGCCATTCCCCCCTGGCGTGCCTCCTTGTCGCCCCCCCTGACGCCCCCCCCCTGGGCTTTGATTTGCTGCGCGAGTCGCTACGGCTGCATCGGCTGCGCCTGCGATGGCGAATGCGATTGCGCTTTCTGTTTTCGACAGCGACAAAGACTCGAAACCCGTCCCGTCGGCTGTCGGTCACTAACCGCCGTCCTCCGACTCTCTGGTCTCGCATGTCGATAACATCATCTATTTGAGCCTCGATTTGAGCCTCGTAGATTATCTCGTCTCCGTTCGGGTCCTTCCCAGGGTCCTGCGTCCAGTTTAATCATCAATTGGGTCCTTGGTGTTTCCCAGATAGAGACCGAAAAGCCCATTTCCTGGATGCCCTTTCCGTCCGGTCTCTGTCGCTGGCCTCGGTTCGGGATGCGACACCCTCTTCCTGTCGAGTCGCACGGCCGGGCCCGACATCCGAATTTTCCTGACATCATGCATCACATGCGAAGTCACGTTTTTTCTCCCAAATCCCATCAAAACGTTTCCCTTGTTTCCAAAATTCCTGCCCACGCGGCGGCCCACAATACCCAAAATTGTGCCACGAGGAGAGGCTCATTCGAGAGCCTGCTCCAAACACTCTAAAAATCTCTCACTTTCACTTAAAAACATGAACCCCCATTCCCGGCTCAACCAAATATGTCAATTTTGGAACTCGGTCTTCAATCCAAGATAGCAACCCCCGCGATACAACCCTGATCCATGGCCCCATCCCATCAATTTCTTTTAGTCACCGTGTCACTAACCAACAGCCATCCCATATCTCCAAGTCCAGCGTAGTGCATGCCGCATGGGAAAACCTCGGGAATTGCCTTCGCCCGCCACGGCTTCCCATCCCGCAACCCCCTTCCGACTGTTATCTCACACCTGCCCCGAATAAGATTCTTCCCGGCATGCTCCGAGGACCACGCTCTCAGTGGACTGTCGAATGCACCCCGAATACGACCTTGGCTGGAGTTCTAGCCGGAAACATATTTCCCTTTGGTAACTTACCTTACTAACCCAAAGTAAACCAGCCGGGACCCCATCCGTCCATCTTCGGATGCGCCGTCGGATGGGTGGGATAGGGACCCAAAAGTCCAGATCCCCGGGTCTCTGCTTCGGGTTAATTACTACCCCCCACCTAGCGATGGCGCTGTTTCAGTACCCGGGCCGGACACGCTCGCCGGAGGTTCCATTGGAACCGACGAGGGGATGCCTTATCTCGATCCAACGCCCCCGGGCCAGCACACAGTGACACCACCGTGGTATCGCGCCTGGTCGTTGGATAAAAATAGACGGGGGCACGTGGAGGGAGCATGGTGGATATCATGGAGGGAACGTTGTCTTGGTCTCCCTTGTGGTGCGAAGCCTTTTGGCTACACGGTCTCTTACATGGTATGTCCCATCGGCGAGGTTAAGGTGATGCTTGGGTGTACTGTGTCTACCTCTCATACTCTCGGACCTCATATCCGCTTAGAAGTTACTCTCGGGGTCCTACCATTGGACGGGGATTCACCGCCTAATAAAGCACCAACCATCCCTCGTCAAAATCATGAGAGTGTAGGGATCAATCGTTTATTTCATCAGCGTTCCCGTGACAACGCCATCACGGATCAAGTTACAGTTGCTCTGATAAGGTAGCCAATCGATGATGGCTTTCAGGCCGTCATTTATGACTTGGTCAGCTGCTCATGGAAATGTTGGTTGTTACTTTCATCAAACTTTCCTAAACTTCATGGTAAAACACCGGGCCGTGTAGATGGCGTGTCTGGCGCTCAATGTCTAGGTATACTACTACCCCTCAAGTCATGTCAATCAACTCATCAAGTACATCAGGTACTAGTTCAAGACACTTCTCCTTTATCAAAACATCTCAGCCACATGGGGCCGTTGGTAAGACACCAGTGCAGTAAATTGCTTCACTGTCGAGATGCTAGATAGCCGTTGACTTGGCCTCACTACTAGCCCTAGATCTGGACACCTGAGTGGATAGAATATGCCACCGACCAGGATCCCAACTCGAAACCCCGTTGGATCTTGTCCACATCTGGATGTTTAGTCAATTCCGAGATGCAGACATCTCCCTTCAACAGCTCCACAGAGCAGTATCATCAACAGGCGTGGTAGCAGAGTGGTCTAATGCGCAATATTAAGAGTCTTGTTCCTTCGGGAGCGTCGGTTCAAATCTAGCCTACGTCGATACATATCTCATCCTTTTGCTCCTGAAACCACAGTGGTTACATGGCTGAGACGACGGTAACTGAACTTGAAGTGCGAAGTTGTCAATTGATATGTTTCTGTTATAGCCTGAAGTGCCCAAGGTAAAGACGCTTGGTGCCAATAGCACTACTGGTACTCCAAACCCGCTCAAGTCCGAAAAGAAAAACTAAACCATGGCCCTTGTCCCTTGTATGCTGTGGGCACTCAGCAAATACAAAACACTACCACTGGAGGCAGCAACAAGCAACAGAAACAACCAGACCTGGCCTAGTGACACCACGTCTTGATTGCGCTGTAGCTATTTATATCATAGCACGTGTCCATATACAGCTGCCTCTCACGTCCGGGGCAGTTATTCTTCTCGTAGATAAAAACTAGATGAGCTGTAGTCAGCCACTTTCCCTTCCCCGCCAAGCCAATAACTACCACAGCCGCTACGTACCGCGACATGTATCGGCAATCAAGAAGACAACCAGCCCTGAGTGTGGGAGGGAAAAGCAGGAGACATCTGTCTTTGTGGATTTGTACTGCGTCCCGGTACAACCTGACTTTGCATAGGTTCTGTTAATTTGTCATAGTGAGAGAAAGCGTTGGACGTAACCCACGATTGATTCTACCACTAAAAAGAACCAGGAGACTCGTTTGATGCAGATTCTGCTAACGTCAAGTTAAAGATTGAACGTTACATAAGGCTGCGTGGAAATCTTCACTTTGATCATATATTTCAGCTTCAATCCTGACATATTACCTCGCTCCATTCGGTGACGAATAGGCATAGCTTGACAATATGTGCCCACCTATCTTGGCAACTTGCTTTGATGTAATGTTTCGGAGTTCGTAATCACAAAACCTTGGCGAATGTTGGGTCTGGGCTGCTATGAATGGTTCCAAGCCACTGGTCAGTAGGCCGGCATATATTGGTCAATACATCATTCAGCTCCCTTTGTCGGTGCCACAAGGAAGATGCAGGTGCCAAGCGTAAGCCTTGTTATCAACCTCCTGCATTCTGTAAGACCTCAATATAAAGTGATTAGGTGATTTACTTGCCTTGTCAATCTCTGGCTCGGCTCTGCTGTCTGGCTCGGGGGGTAGCTGGTCCAATTTGAGCACTCCAGCCAATCCTGGCGGTGGCAGTTACATGATCCGAGGCTTGTGTTGTGAAACAGTTGTTATAGTATTTACAGATGCAACGTTTTATTCTAAAGATATCGCTCGCGTCTGGTGGATTTTTCCCACACAACGAGCCTGTATCGTCTAAGCCTTATCGTTCATGAATCTCTGCAGCCACTCGTTACGTCCAGTAAAGCTTCGGATTTTCTTGCCGAAAATCCTATCCACAGTTAGCATCATTGCTAAGAAGTAGTCTCAGCTCTGGAAACTCACCAAAGAGGTATTGTCAACAAGGTGACAAACAAGAACAATGACCCCAGAATCGAAAAGACGATCAGGGCCCCCTGCTCTGCTAACCAGTCGTTCACAAAGTAGGTCAACCCAAACGTGAGCAAGTTCCTCGCGTTGATAGCAACAAATGCCTCCTCGTTGTGCTCGCGGTAGCTGTCGACAACATAACCAAAGACACAAGTTGACGCGAAGACCAGACTCATGTTGGCGAGACCAAAACACAAAACAGGGCCCAGCCAGTGCGTCTGGTACTGCACGGTGGCACCGAAGCCAAAGAACCCGACCACTCCGAGGATGGTAGCAACAATCATTAGGGGTAGCCTGAATTCGGGCTCGTAGACGCCCTTGTTTTTGCGTGTCAGATGGATGCAGATCCAGTCGTTGAGCGGGCCCGAGATTAGCTCGCCGATGATGGTCAAGACGAAGGGGGACAAGCTGATGAGGCCCGTTTGGCTGATGCTAAAGTTATAGGGCGGGCCGACAAAGATGACGCCGTTGACAACCGAGAAGACGACGATCCAAGTGAGGGTGGTGCCTTTTGCTGTCAGGGACGAGGGTGAAGGGATGAGATAAGAGACGCTTACCGTAGATCAGAAACCCCCAGAAGACGGCGGGGTAGAACAAGAGGATAACTGGCCGCGCAAATACCTTCCAGCCAGGGGCGTACGAGTACCGCCCAGTAAAGACGCGCAGCGACTGGAGGTAGGTGTGCTTTTTCTCCGCGGTGCCGCCCTCCCCGTCATACGTCGTATGCATCTCCTTCTCGTTGACGTGCTGAACATCGTGATCATGGCCCAGCTTCATCTTGTGGACACTGCCCTCGCCCTCTCTCTCCTCCTGGTCACTCACCGGCACCGGCAGAACCGAGTCTCTTCGGTAAGCCGTCTCAGGTACCAAGAAGATGACGGCAATCAGTAGAATGCCAAACAAAATCGCACACACGCCAAACGTCCACCGATACCCATCCCGCTCAATGATGTACCCGGCGATTAACGCACCCCCGCTAATCCCCGTCAACAAGAACAGATTCCACACGGCGATCCGCGTCGCGCGCTCATGCACAAAGTACATGTCCCCGATGGTGCACTGCACCAAGACCTCATACGGCGCCATGCCGACACCGGCCAGGATGCGACTCCCCAGCCACGAGTTGTACTCGGTCACAGCGGCGCCCCACACGCTCGTCACGAACATGATTACCATTGCGAGGAGGTACACGGGGCGGCGCCCGATGATCTTGGCGAGCGGGTTGGTCAGGAACAGGCCGAGCCCGATGCACAGGATCAGCCAGGCCGTCGACTGCGCTAGCACCTCGACCGTGATGTGGAGGTTGTCGGCGATCTCGACGAAGCCCGGCGAGAGCATCGGCCCGTAGGCCCCCACCACGGCCGCGGAGAGGCCGACGATGAAGAGGATTAGTTCTTTTTTCCTGGAGGGTGTGTCGTGTCAGTTGTTTTTTTCTTTCTTTTCTTTCAGGGGTGCAGCGGGGTTACGCGAACCATTGGGGCCACTGAAGATGATGTTAGTTACTGTTGTGGATTAGGGGGAGTTTTGGGGGGGGGGGGGGGGGAGGGGCGTGGGAAGGTATGCTCACGTTCAGAGGGTCGTTTGGGCTGTCAGATGGCTGAGGCACCAGGATCACGTCTTTGAATCGCCCTGTTCCATGCTTCAGTCGTTCACGAGGGATGTCGGCCAGCTCGGGCGGCAGGTCATCCTGGTCGGTCATGAAAGCTGGGCACGGCAGGAGCCGAAGTGTTAGCGTGTACAAAAGAACCGTAATGACACCCCGGCAGGTGTTGAGTGAAGGGGAGCGTACCCGTGCCAGGCACGACTTCCATCTTCTTGCAATCCAGGATTCCAAAAGGCATGGTGGCAGTGACGACCCCGTGCGGTACGGGTGAGAACTAGGAACTAGATGCGGAAGGGTGTGGGAGAAGAGATGGCCCCTGGGTGGGGTGAGATCGACGACATTCTGGTATTTGTATTTGTCTTGCTCGAGTTGGGAAACACTGGAGCGAGTGGGGTACCAAAGCCGAACAGCCTTAAAGTCGGCTTTCACACGCCAGACGTCAGCCGGGGCGCCGAGTTTGAGACCCCGACATCAACCTCATATTTGGGGTTCAATGGGTGCCGTCCCCAAAAACTCCCCCATGGGATGCATGGCGCTCGCATGTGCCGTGCGTCAGCCGAGGGGACTGGGAGCTTTCAACCTTGTTGCCAAGACTCGGGATCCCATCTCACATATCACATTGTCCCACTAGCACCCGGTGGTCTACCCACTCTCCTTTGCTGGCCAGGAATTTCATCTTGACAGGGCCAAAGTCCTCAAGCACGATATGGCGGCGGTCAATGGCACCCATCGAAACATGGCCCGCTCTCAGTGCCCTGGAGCTGGCTAACTCCCACGCGGGGTAAACGGAGATGGCCCCAACCTGATATCACATCTGCCGAGCATTTGATTACCTATGGTCACAATAGCCGGCACATCACCGAACCCTTTGATTGACCCAGCAGGTCTGTGTAACGGTCTGGGTAGCTCTGTGTAACAGTCCAGCCCTGATAAGAAGTAACACGTCCGCCAAGGAACTGGGCCGTTTACTTTACAGCTGGGGTTTGTAGCAGGGCCTGATACCAAATATTGAAAGATTTTCGAGAAGGCAGCGGGAGTTGGGGCGTCATCTTGGCAAAATGAAATCCCAGGCCACGGCTGCCTCGCCGAAGCGGAAATATACCAGGTCGATATTGTTATGCTGGTTGTTTGAGATACCCAGCGGCCGGCAATTTCGTGCCGTGAATGTGATGCAGGGCGCGCCGGCTCCACATCCGTCGGTTTTTACTTTGAGCCCCGATCTCCGCATCCATGTTGCATCGCCAGGTGTTTAGTTGGGCGTGTTTGCATTAGTTTACATATCCTTGCTCAGTTCGTGGCGGCTACTGTCTGTCACCAGGCGGTCGGCTCGCTCCATGCCTTCCAGTATTGGGGAACCTCTGGGCATTCTGCTGGGAATCATTTATTTCCCTTGTCATGACGGAATGCAATGCTCAAACATAGAGTTGCCACTAGTTTAGATGCATTTACTACATGTAGTTGACTCAAGTCTGTCAAGTTACACGAGACGATGCAAAAAGCCATCAGGCTCACCTGCACTAGTGTTGAGCGTCCACCCCTAATTCATCAGTCCAACATCCCCAAACAATGTACCTACCTCTTTAGTTACCTCCCACAACATTTTTCTGACCAAGTCCGGATTAGTCGCACAGCCTGAGCAGGGGGTGAGGCAAAGCGAGTACCTCCCTGAGCCGAGGTGAGTTCGGCTATAATTACCGTGATTTAAAATCGTGTGTACGTCGCAAGGATCCGCTCCTAGACCCAGTTTTGGGACACCAGTCCACCGCCAAGTACTACCGTTTTCCTTTGCCCATACAAACAACCATCGTTAATAGACCCACTGAAACTACCACTCGTTCTCAGAACGTAACTCCAATGACCCGAGTCAAATTCTAAGTCTCTAAACTACAGATATAACGTTTACCGATATAGACTAACTGTGTTGTCGAAAGGGAGCATCGGAGAGAGT